AGATGAGCACAGAGATCTTATTATTAGGCTTCCTGGCTAAGCAGCTTTTTGTCAGTTTGCAATGTGACTAGCTGTGTGGGAAAAAAGCAAACCAAGATATGGCTATCTACCCTCAGGCTGTGATGTCATGATGCTTATGCTGGATCTCTACACGGCTGGATTACTGCACACTCTGGCCCACCCCAGGATGAGCTTGCTGACCTGTATAGAGACAGTTCTAAGCTTTTCCTGATTTTACATCAACAGCTGAAGGATGGATAGTACATGGTCTTGATTGGCACAAGACCTGCTGCAATAAAATTATTCCATTTACATTTTTCTTCATATGTGTAAGGAAATATTAACCAACAGAAGAAAGGCCACTGTCTTTGAGAAACAATATTGGGAATGATGAAGTCAGATTTATTTTCTGACCAAACCTCAATTGGTTTCAGGGCTCAGAGTACCAAGTATCCTTTTACTGGTTGAGCATGTGAAATATCCATAAATGTCCTCAATAAAAAACCACTGCAGGCTGAATGGGGATTATAGCACAGGGCCAAAGTATATCTGGTCCACTGAATAGATCTCAGATTATCTCATATTTGTACACAAAAAACCCACAAAAAACAAAAAACATACTCATCAGCCTTTGGCTAGTAATTTATCTGGGTGTTACTACAGATTGCTAACAAGGATATGGCAACCACAACTATTTCTCACAAAATCTTTTGCCATTCTAACAATACTAAAATGAATAAAATTCTTGCTCGTGATATTCCATGTTTGAATATAACTGTGATTTGTCATATTGTCTTTCTCCCAAGGGAACACTTGAACTGGAAAGGCCAAGCTAACTGTAAGGTAATCTAGTCCATTGGAAGTCCCAGTGAGAAGAATGTGTTCAAAGAATGTGAGAAGGTGGCACTTGGGGACACAGATTAGTGATGAACTTGGGGGCAGAGGTTAGTGATGAACCTGGAAGTACTGGGCTAACAATTAGACTTTCTGATCTTAAAGGTCTTTTCCAACTTAAGCAAATCTATGATTCCATGATTCAATTATTTCAAAAGAGAAATAGCACTTCTGACCAGGCTGCTCCCCAATGACCATCAGCTGACTGCAATCTTGAGAACTAACATAAAAAGGGTTTCTCTTTCCCCACTGCCATAACTTCCATCTCTTTGGGGATAATGTTGTTCAGGAATGTCAGTCAGCACCTACTCGGGCACTGGCTTGTATCTCTAATGCTTCTCTCCCCCAGAAAACATATTTCCATCTGCATCATTATTCTTCTCTTTGTCTAAACAAACACTTGAAACTGCTATCTCTAATTCTTGATTTATCCTCTCATTTACTAGCACGCTGGTAGACTTCTTAGTTGCTATACAGCAATGTGAAGCATCTTATTTTGGGAAAATGCTACATTTTATCTCCTCTTTGGGGTCATATTACTTTCCAGAATTGTCAGACTTCTTTTTAAATTTGGTATTTTTTCCCCCTGATACTCTGTTATAATTAGCACTAAATCAGACACTGAAGGCACTAGAGCAGAAGGCTGAGAAAGGGTTTCCTGGTAGTAAAAATATGAAAGACTGAGATAAAGATACTTCTGCTCCCAATATTCCCTCCTGGAAACTACAAATCCAGCAGATGAGAAGCCATCTGTGTGGATACCTTGTGATACATTTTAACGCTAAAATAGTAATTGAGCTGCACTTCTAGGGCTTCCCTTGCCAGCAGCCATCCCTGGAAATCCCCTGTAGGAGTGAAAGGATAGATAAGGACAGTGCCATGGAAACAGCTGATCCTTCCCCTACCTTTCTTAAATGCACTAGCAACTGGAGACTAACTTGCAAAAGTCAAACTATCTAACCAAATCTGCACAAATCTAAATATTTTGTGCTCAATTTCAGTGTAATAGTTAAGAACTACAAGTAAATACACTAAGAAAATGTGAGGTCTCAGTGCTTTTGTTCTTGGGAAAAAAAAAGTGTTGTCAACACCTCTCTAATCTCTAATAATAGATTAATTAATAGATAATCTCTAATATTAGATTTGGTGTACATTTTGACATACCTTTATCCTCCTGTTATAGAAATATTTGAAAAATCAAATAGGCTGTACTAATGAAAAAAATCTGCCACGTTCTTCTAGGCCACAGATTAATGCAGTGCAGTGCTGTAACCCTACAACCTTCCAAAGAAAGCAATGGAGGCACTTTTGAACATCATTAAGTAAGAAATAGATTAGGGAGAAGCTGCAGAAAACAGAAACCTCTGTCTTCTCCTGAAGCAGTATTTCACTGTTTTAGCTGATCAAATGCACTTTGCAATTCAAGCTGTTTCTTCCAAGGGACTTAATCCATAATCTGGGAAAGAAAAATACAACCTTGTTTCACCACTGCTGAAAAGCTGCCAACTCTTGCTCCAGGTGATTGCACTGTATTTGTTTTTCCTGAAAACTCTGGTGACAATACATAGGTGGGAGAAAAACTGCATTTCAATTAACATTTTTGTTCTATTTAAAAATTGCTTATAGGGTTGCTAATTCACCATGTTCTGCCTCCACTCTTAAGTGAGGATGGTCGTCTTACTATGACTAATTTAATTTCACGTTTTGGTGAAGTGGAACAGCCTAACCCTGCCCTACACATACTCTGGGTAATTTCTCCCACTTCTGCACCTGCATTGCCCACATCTGTTGGTGATACTTTGAGTCACGGAGCGTTGATGAACTCTCTGGAGCTAAGCATTTGGGGATTCAAAGCACACCTGACTCTTTTGATGACCTCTTCCCAAACTTTCCAGCCAAGTGCTGTTGGTTTTTAGCCTTCTGTAGGTACTAGCAGAAACATTAGCCAGTGAAGTCCAAACGGATAGTAGGCAAGTGTTGGGAGTGCTTCAGAACACATGCTTTCAGGGCCCAGCTTTCAAGAACATTAGGTAGAAGGCTGTGTCAATGGCAACACATGGATTGTTGACTGCAGGGGCCTGCACACATGATCACATGCAGGACAGGTTTCTGTAATCATGCTTTGTAGTTCCTTCACCTGTGCTGCTATAGACAAAAGTTTTCAGATTGACTCCTACAGGCATTCTTACACTGATTGAAGATGGATGTGTATCAACCTAGCCTGTGGAATAAGTAAATAGTAAGAGACCATTGATTAAATGAGAATAAAAATAACAGATGCATATCAGTTTGTAGACAAAGACCTAAAGAATGAGGTAAAACTCTACCATACATGGTTCAAAATGGATTAGGACTGTCCACACAAATTATCAGTCCTCGTGTTAGTTGCGTTCAGGGCACTTCTTTAATTAAGCAGATGCAACTATGGGAAACAGACCTCACCTTTGTAACAAAATGTATTGAGTCAAGACTAAAAGCAGCAAAGGTATGAGCACATACTTGACAATACACCTTCTTTACTGGTAGCCTTGGACGTTATTTTAACACATCAAAACACTAAATGCTTTCACTTTCTTTAAGAAAACAAAAGAGGAAGTAGAATACACAGCTACTACAGCTTGAGTAATGAACTTCCTCAACTAAACACAGAGTTAAGCAGAAGGACAGGTTAGATTTTTTTCAGTTAACAGAATTTTAATCACAATTTACACATATTGTGAGTGCAGGTTGGGTTGTTTATACTAAACTAACCAGTCTAACACAAGATAACACACTTTTTTCCCCATTACTAGCTCTGTTGAGCTAGTCAAGCTTCTTGTCCTATAAATGCTAATTGATTTGTATGTAAAGTGTTACTTTGCAATGAACAGAGAGATCAGCCCATGTACATGCAATGACAATATCAGGTTCTTAGTTTACTTACAGCATATTGTTTGGGATTGTCTTAATGACTTCTCTTTGGGAAAATTGAAGGAAAATTAGCTTTTAAAAAAGAAAGTCAGACCAGTGAAGAAGTGTGAAATGAAATATAATGAAGCAAGATGTTTATAATCAGATATAAAAGAATCAGACTATATAAACACTAATAACACTGAAGGTTAATAACACTGATTGTATTTTTCAGTATAAAAGTACTGCTTTTGTATTTGATTTGTGGTAAGAGGAAATTTTTGATTTTTCAGACTGAACAACAAAAGTGGTCCAGAAGTTCATACTATAAACAGCATGTCACTTTTGGTACTTTCTAATGGTTTGATTCTAGCAAATGCATGAATTTGTCACAAAGGTTTGTGATTGGAATAATAAAATGCAGTGCCTTCCTGGATGGTGTATATACACATCCATTTCAATGACATGGCAGCCATTCTCATCACACAACTAAAGCTGGTGGCAAAAAGAAACTGGTCTCCTGGCTTAAAAGGAAGGCTGCTCTTTTATCTTCAAAATGTATTTATGTTGATAGACATGTTACTGTAGTACCTTTTTCTATAAAATATTAGTGTTGTGTAACCTAATGAGTTCTTCAGTAATTCTAAATTCAATCTGAAGGTTCAAAATCAAACCTGAGAAGAAAGCACACGTGTGAAACTATTGAAAGAAACCTGCTATTGCTGCTCATATCTTTGCTTGAAATTTTAAACTTTATGATGATTTTACAAACTAAGGTGTCAGTGCCATTGTTTTGTTTTGTTTTGTTTTGGTTTGGTTTGGTTTTTTTTGATGGAGCAGAGCACCCAGCTCACAAATGATGTTGGCCATTATCCTGTGAACACTTGTGCAAAGGCTTAGCTTTTTTACCATTGACAGTCTCATTAAATTCAAGGGGATTATTTGCATGAGTGTTTTGTGCATCAGCACTGGCTGTACTGAAGCCACTGCTATAACACACATTTTGTGGGTCGATAAATTAAAAGTCCACTTAGGTCATCTTGTAAATGCTTTTCCTCTTTATTAACACACAAAGTTAATAGCTGGACCTGTCTCTCTACTGCTATCACACTCCAGAGAAAATAGGAACTTTGACACAATTTACCCCATCGTCGGGTCGTTCCTGACCTAGAACCTCCACAGGATGATGCACAGCCTGCGGAGAGGCCAGGCCGCTCCTTCTGCGCTCTGCAACCCAAAGGGAGTTGACAGAGCAGGGCCGTGGAGGATGGGACACCCTCTCTGGAAGCCGGGGCGCTCGCCAAGGGAGCGCGTCCACCCGGGGTAGGTCTCCAGAGGCCCCGGCAGCCCCGGGGAGCACAGCGAGGGGAGGACCGGAGAGCCCCGCTGCGCCCCGACCCTGCTGACCCCCACGCCCCGATCTGGCCCGGCACGCCAAGCCGGCGCCCTCTCCCCTCAGAGAACGGGATCTGGGCCGGGCGCGTCCCCGGCCAGCAGCGTCTCGGCGGGGCCGGCGGGCACCGGCGGCATCCGGCAGCCCCGCGGCCTGCGGGCCCTGCCCCCAGCGCTGGGCCGCGTCTCCCGCGGGAGGCGGAGGGAGCGCAGCCGAGGGAGCCTCGCTGCTCTTCCTCCTCCCCTTCCTCCCGTCCCCCCCAGCCCCTCCGCAGGGCCGAGCCGTTGCGGGCGGTGCAGCGGCGCTGCCCCCGCCCCTCGGCGCCGGCGGCCGGGACGAGCGGCGGCGGGGTCACGGCGGCGGCCGGGTCAGAGGGTAAAGGTTGCTCCCCCAGCATCCTCCGTGCTGGATACTCAGCCATCTTGGATTCGCGGGACAAGAAAATTCATGCGGTGAGTCCGGCCCCGGCCGCCCCTTCCCCGGCCCCGCCGCCGACACGGGCCTCGCCGCCGTCCCGGCCGCGGCCCGATGTGGGAGGCCCGGGCGGCGGCGCGGCCCTCGGCGAGGCTCGGTGGACCTGGGGCCGCCCCGCCGTGTTTCCGTTTGCTTTTGTCTCCGAGGGGGAGCGGGGGGGACGCGCGGCGCCCGAGCCGGGGGCGCAGCCGCAGGCCCGGCCCGGCCCGCCGCCCCCCGCCCTCCTCCGCGGCCGCGGGCGGCGGGACCCCCGGGCGCCGCTGCGGGGACGGGCGAGCCCGCGGCCCGGCTGTGTTTGGGCCCCGCATCCCCGCGGCCGCCGTTGGCAGCTCGCCCTGCGGCCCACTCGGCCCGCCCGACCGGCTTCTTCCCGCCGCCGCCCCGCCGGCTGGTCCCAGGCCTCCTCCGTCCCTCCGAGCCCGGCCCCGCGGGGCTGCGCGGCCGCCCGGCCCCCGCCCGCCGCCTTCCCCGGGCCCGGCGCCGGGGCAGCGGAACCTGCCGCCCACGGCCGGGGCCGCGCTGGCCCCGCGCTCCGCCGAGCGGCCGTGCGGCCTGCGCCGCGGGCCCCGGGCGGAGAAAGGCGGTGAGATGGGGGTGTTGCTGGCTGGCTTTCGGTTGAAAAATTATTTTATTTTCTTTTTTTTTTTTTACTTTTTTTTTTTTTTTTTTTTTTTTTTTTTTTTTTTTTCTTTTTTTTTTTTTTTTTTTTTTTTTTTTTCATTTTTTTTTTTTTTTTTTCTCCTGCGCCTGTTTCACTCTCCTCCTGGTGCAGGTTAAGGCTGTGTGTAAACAGGTTCTGGCTTTCCCTCGGACGTGTTTGTAAAACAAACTTGAAAGGGACAGAGCGCGGGCGCCGGAGGAAGGAACCAGCCTTCCCCTGCCCGCCTGGGCGGCGATGACAAGCTCTGGCGTGAGCCTGACCCGTGCTGGGAGAGGAGGTGGCACAGGGTGACAGGTTAGGGATAAGAGGGGGACAGTAGGGCGGTGGGAAAAGATGCAAGTGTCAGTGTTAGCAGTCTAGTTAGTGTATGTATGCTTCTGGTGAAAACAAGGACCAACTAATGGGTGTTCTTGGTTTTAGGATGGGGTTTTTTTGGTGAAGTTACAAGTAACTTTGTTTTGGAGGCTCTGTAATGTGGGAAAATGAAAATATGTTTGTGTAAGGTGGTATTTGCTTCTGCTGCTTATTCAAATCTAACACAAGCATGTTTAATTTCTGCTGTCTCTTTTATCAGGGAAAAAGTTGTTCCCAACTTTGCAGTGTTTTATCCCCAGGGGAGGATAAGAACTTTCTGTGTATCTTTCATAAACATATATGTGTTTATGTGACTTGAGTGCGTGGAGGAGACACTCCTATGTGCCTGCACAAGCAGCAACATCTGGTGTTGGTGACTGGCTGCTAGTCTTAACTCTTCAGCTGGGGAAGGATAGATTAAGATGATCAAACCTGCTGTCATGCCTGTTATTGGAAAACTTTATCTTTTGGAAAACTTGGATTTGTTTCAGACTTGTGAAGACCTGCAAGAGCAAAGTAATTTTAGAAGTTTATATTGCAAAGGCATCTTCCTTTGGATCTGGAAGAATTGTTGTGTATGTGCTGATGTACTTTAAGTTACCTTATACTGACACATTAATGGAACATAGCTCACAGGATCAAGTTTTGTGAACTTGAACATGATGTATCTGTCCCATGCCTTTTTTTCCCTCTTCTTTTTGCCCCCCAATTCCACTGTTCTTTGTGTTGTGTATTCAGTTGGTATGCTAAACTTCGAGGTGTTGACTGCTTCTGATTTTAGAAAGGGATTTGAATACTCACTTATCAAGAGCTGACTGACTTGACTTGCAAGTGTATTTCCGTTTCATTTTCAGCAATCTGTTGATAAAGCTAAGAGTGTAGTAGTAGATAAACCTTGTCTACATATCTCTTCTAGAAACTTAATACTGCTGTCAAGGTAGTCATTGTTATTGCAATCTATTTGTGTGTCAGTTCTATCAAGAAATGAAAGAAAAGCCCTTGGCTAAAAACTGAAAATAAAGAAACCCCAGAAATTTATATCAAAAAAACAGATTTGAATTTTCTTTAACAGAATCCAGTTCTAGTAATTGTCATTTAGTGGAAAAAAATAGGACACTTGGTGTGTTCTGAAGTTTGATGCTAAAAAATTGTTTGATGCTAAGAAGTGGCTGTTTCCACCTGAAAATCTTGGTCTTTACCTTAGTAGCTTCATATGAAAATTCTACGTGCCTGCAGTGGACCTTTAGATCTCAGAAAGTATTTCTGTTTAATTTTTTAATATTTCTAAATGCATTTCTGTCTGGATAGAGATTAGCTTTGAAATCAGGAACATTATTGCTGTTTTAGCCTCTGTTGTAGCTTTCTTAAAAATTATCCTAATATTCATGTTGATGGAAGGGCTGTTGTGTAGTAATTGCTAAGTAGTAACCTCATTATGGTTTTAAAGGGGCCTTGTATCATAACTTTGTTTATTCAAAAATATCTTCCACCTCCATCCTTTTATGAACTCAAGAAGATAATAGAACTTAAAAACACACCGTATTTCAATTAAAACAGAGGTTTCGATCACCTGGCTTTCTGACTTTATCTGGAAACTAAAAATAAACATTGAATTGCTTGTTTTCCTTTGAGGTAGTATATAAAGTGCACCAAGTACAGAATTTTATTCTAATGGAAGTAGACCCCTGTATCTAACTTTTAAAATTATGTCTTCCCTTAAAGCTATAATTTGCTTGAATAAAAGGCACCTTAAAAATGCGTTATCAAAAAGGAAAATTTTTAAATTCTTGGCAGAGTATTTGCCACATTTGTTGTGTGTCTTTATAAATGTTAGCTTAAATAGAAAGCCTTTTACCAGTTTCTATGGAAGTACAGTACCTTAGGAAGTCAAATCAAAATTTTTATGACAGATTTAAGTGATTGCTCTGTACATGATACACTTTTTCTTATTTTAAATTGTTATTAATACAGAAGGTATGTAAATTTCAAGGATTGACAAAAGCATAGAAGCTGAAGTTAGGTTAACTTTGCTTTATCTGAGCTTTTGAGACATAAATAAGTAAATATATGTGAGCATTCTGCTATACAGCAGAAATCTGCTAATATATTTGCTTTAAATTTATTACTCAGTTATACTGCACTGAACAATTCAATATAACTTGTTTCAGTTGTCTTTCCTGAGTAGAATTGGCCTTTTTTTTTTCCTTTTTTTTTTTTTCCTTTCCAGATGTGCTTTTGCACATAGGTGCTATGTTTGTGTGTGTCTTGTTGGTCTCCTGACCAAAGTTCCTGGAAAAGAACACCTAAACATACGAACACCTGAAAGTTTGTGTGTCGTTTCCTTGCCTTAAAAGCACCTGCTTACATGCTGAGGGTTAACTTTGTGCATGAATTTCCAGGATGGATGGTGTATTTTGACAGCTAACTATGCTTTTATTGAGCATTATAATAGCGTAGGAAGCATTGTGTCAAATGAAAATACTGCACAGTAGGATATTTCAAATTGTCCTTGTGGAATTATTTTGGTTTTGGAGCAGGTGTGTATATACCAAGCATGGTCTGCTAATCAACAAGAGATTCTTACATAGCATTGAAAATATTTTTGTGTTTGTATATGCAAAAATTAAAAAAAATCCTAACCAAACACCCAGCCACAAAATATTCATATTGCTTATAATAATATATTTTATCTTTAATTTTTAATACTCTGATAAAATAGGATATTTTTGTTGTGGTGGTGTGCGCTTGCTCATCTTCTGGTCTGGTTGTGTAATAGGCTCCAAATCAAGGTGTAAGTGGTTCTTGTCCAAAGGGGTTATTGAGAACCCTTAATTTGTCTTGTTATAGCATTGGTTATCAGTAGCATTACAGAAAAGTGTGCTTTATTGTTTCCCCCTGACCTGGTTACTCTGTCCTTTGATTGCTTTTTGCAGTGCTAATACATATAATTTCACAACTCTGCATTTCCTAGGAGGATTCCTTTCAAATTATGCTGGTAGGTTAACATTTTATTACAATGAAGACTTTTTTTCAGACACATCCTTCTCTTGTTAAATTGCAATGCAAGAGTTGTTAATCAGAAGTTCAGTAGTAAGTAAACCATTGTTTCTTCCTGTTTCCCTTTTGATTTGGGATGATTTATGGAGGGATATTTTTAAATATTATTTTTTACCCCATGTCACTTGGGATTTTTTCCTCGTTTTTTTCATTTATTTAACTTAATAAGCATTTTTAAAATCATACTTTCAGATTTTTTTTATGCAGTTGAGATCAATCAGTGATGCTTGAATATAGCTTGCTGTGGTCAAGCTATTCATCAAATGATATAAAATGCTCTTGTATTTGTGGTACATAAAATGGAAACTCTTATTTTGCATTGCTGTTACTGAGGAGACAATTATCCAGTGGGCTTAGTAGGACCATGCTTTTTGTGTGTGTTAC